ACTGGGTTGCTCCAGTATAAACTAGGGATTTTTACCTTCTTATATTATATATATAAAATTTTATTACCCTTCCTAATCAAGTTTTAACTTAATTACATGGGCATATACAATTTATCAATTATATACAAATTAGTTTTAAATGAGTATCCCTTTACATTAGGAATTGAATAGGAAATCTCCATCTGCTCTCTCTCTCTCTCTCTCTCTCTCTCTCTCTCTCTCTCTCTCTCTCTCTCTCTCATATTCTGTTCTTTCCCTAATTTTCTTCATTCGTTTTTCTCTGCTTTTCATCCTTTTTTTTCCCAGGAAATTCATCAATGAATTTCAATTATTATAATATAGAATTTTAACTTAGCAATTTACTTTCATGTTACACAATTGATGTTCTAATTGAAATTGTCAATCAATAAAATTTGAAGGTATTTGATTCTCCACCATTAACAGCCATTAAAAAACTTCGAAACTTTGAATTCGAATTGGGTTTTTAAAAATTATTGTTTGTTTGGATTAGGTGTTGTTGCAAATAATTGAAAATATTTTTTTGGAGTTTATATCTCAATTTTGATGATGTTTGGTGAAGATTAAACTTAACTTTAGCCGAATTTAAAATTGATACTCGAAAATAAGACATGACATACAATATACTTACGAAATTTCTATCTCTATAAACTAATGGGATTCTCTTTGTTAAAAAATAATATTTTTTAATATCTCAAAAAGAATATTTAAATTGATGTCTAGGTTCATTCTTTTAATAGGTCTTTATAAGACCAATCAATTTGAATATATTTTAATGTGTGTAAAAGTAAACTAGAATAACTCTGAATATAATATTTTATTAGCATCGAATTGGTATCAAAATCAGCTATGTTTTTGTAACTTTGAAATTGACCAAAGATTGGTCCTGTATAAATTGTGTAAATAGTATTTTTTACGTGCATGTTTGTAGATTAGCTGCATGCTTGTATAAATTGTGTAAATAGTATTTTTTACACACACACACTCCAACATAGTAGTCCAATTGTTCTTGCATAAATTGTGACATGGACCGAATTTTCCTTTATATTTTGTGACACTAATTGATGGACATATACCGCTATACGCTGTAGAGAAAGGCAATCAGGGACGAATTAGTTTCCCGATGGTGTGGAGTTTTCAATCCAGCTGATCTTATAGTCAACGAGTGAATCATATTATTTTCCTTCATAGGTTTTTCGGTTATGCAATTGCTATGTCTAGCTCTTTGATTTTTCTATTCGTTGTTGTAATTTTTCATTACAAAGTTAATAGCCTCCCTTAGTTCTAATCTATATTCGTTGTATTGTGATCGAACGGGCAAAACGTAAGTTCTTCTTTGCTTAATCTATATTCACGATGTCATGACAATGTTCACATCCTAATTTTATCATTTATACAAAGGAAAAGGGCCAAATATACCCCTCAATTTTCGGATATTGTCTACATTTAACTCCGTTATACTATTTGGCCAAATTTATCCTTATCGTTATACTATCCGGCCAAATTTACCACTACCATTAACAAACTTTTAAAAATTACCCCTTGATCTGCTAAGTAATCCAAAATCTCCCAACTTTGCTTTTATTTAAATCACTTGTTGTTTTTCTTGCTACACTATTTTCAAAAATTACTATTGATATGAATGCTAAACGTAAGACTACAAATTTTCATGGATATTTTTACTTACCAATGCACCCACTTCTCTTCTTGTGATAATGAGTTTGGAATTGGTTTACAATTTTATTTATTTTTAACCATATATACACTGTAGAATTCAGTGGATCTATTATTGTTTATTATATGAAGTTGATCATCATATATGTACATGTATATTTGAATATATTTTATTATTGTCCGGTTAATATAGAGTTCAATTGACTAACTTAAGATTGCGCAATGCATAGGCATTTGATTATAGCAAAGTTGAATTCGGCAATGTAAAGTCTCCAAGGAACCTCAACTTCAATCACTAATACTTGCAAAGTCTACATACCTTTGGTACAACGAATTCATTAAAGTTTGGGTGTTGTAAATGTTTAACCAGAAAATAGGAATTTTGGTCACAGCTACTCGGGCTACTGATAATCAAATAAAAGAATCTTTTAGCAATGAATAAGGGCAAAAAATGGTAAAGTAATCGGTTTAAAGCAAAGTAAATAAGTATATTTCCAATAATAATTAGAACGTATCCGTACAAATGACATTTCTATTCCTTATATAGACATTTCTAAGTACAACGTCTTTTTTTCCCTTTATGACTAAGTCATTATGAGCATTAATGATATTTATGGAACGTTATAATTGGTAATCGTAACTGCTCCGTGAAGATTCTGTAATGTTTGTAATCATTCATGCCCATTAATTGCAGTCTAATGAATCTATCCTTTTTCTTGTCTTAGTTCATTCTACCGGTGTCTTTTCAGATTAATGAGAGACTCGAACAACCGTTCCTTTTAGAAGATTCTGTAACGTTTTGCTCGTTCCTATTAAGACTCGCGCCTTTTTAAGTACTCTCCTCTAGCTGTCACTTTTCTGATGATCCACGTGTCTTGCCATGTCAGCCACACAATTAATTCCACGTGTAGTGTTTATTGCCCCCCAGTACAGTAAATACTTTTGGAATTTAGACAAACTACCTAATTTAGATTCTTCAATTTACTATACTTTGTTTACTAACTGTTGTATTATTTAATATTTTTTTTCCAAATAAGAAAGCAGGTAAATGTCAATTTTGAAAATAGTGAATCACGAAGAAGAATAAGTAACTTAAGTAAAATGATTTGGGAGATTCTAGGTCACATAACGTCCTAAAGGGTAATTTTTAAAAAATTTGCTTATGGTAGGCATAAATTTGGCCGAATAGTATAAGGATATGGGTTAATTTGATGGGATAGTATGACGGAGGTTAAATGTAGACAATATCCGAAAATAGAGAGGTATATTTGGCACTTTTCCCTTTATACAAACAGGGAAGCTGTTAAGACTGGATGAAAATAGCACTTTGCTGTCTATTCTTGAGCAAATTACATACACACTTCAGCCTGAGTCCCAAACGGAGAGTTAACAGGAAATTCCTTATTCTTGATTGGGGACCTTGATAGTGATACATCTACATAGGCAATTCTTGTAGTTACAGCATAGGCTGCTTCCACTAAAGCAACAGCTCCGTGCATGTTGTTACTTAGTATATATTACTTATAAGTTATAACATCCGAGGATCCAACTTCATCTCATTAATCGGATCTTAAACTGATTTAGAATTCTGGTTTTGCAGACTGCAAATTCGGTTTAAGTATAAGCAATTTCCATATAGGGTTTTCCATATCAAGGCGTCGAATTTTGAGACTGCAATTTAAGATTCGTTTACTCCTGCGCCATTGTCATTCTGAATTTTCAGTCTCATAGGCTCATACTCGTGGCCTCCAGTGGAACAATCTATGAAGAACCTTTCCAATCGAAATTCGGAATAAGTCAAAATGTCGCACGTTATATGATCCCTTCCTGCTTCTACCTACCAATTAGCATTCTATTTCCTATTTCATCAAAAAAGAAAGACAAGAAAATCCATAACGTGCCGACTAAGGGTAGCAATTTGAGCCCAAACCCATTCGACCCGTCCAAGGTTGGGTTGTTAATTGACCCGCTCATTTATTAAATTCATCCCATCTTGACCCAATTCATTTCAGTCCATCTAAAGTTGGACTGAGCCCAAATTGATCCATGAGTAACTCTGTTAAAATATCTTTAAATAATTTTTTTGATATGTTATATATGACCATAACAAAAGAAAAAAAGTCTTATTTGATAATTAAACAAATAGATAAGAAAATAACACACTTTAATTAAAGCTTGGTAAAAGTTAGGCGGGTTGAGCTAAGACCCAAATTTTAACTCAACTTGATCCATCTCAGCCCAAGTTACTTTTGTGCGGGTCAAATGACATGCTTATTTATTGAGTCAACCCATTTTATCCCGCCCATTTGACCCCCCTAGTGCCAACCGTTATTGAAATGTACAAAGATTCCTTTTGGATTAATAATATCTTAATTAGTAGTAGGTAACCGAAAACGACATAGCTCATGGTCTGTGGGCTAGTTGATTAGGACGTTTTAGCTGTAAAAATAATACCGCTAGCAGTTAATTGAAAAATAGTCAGTGTTTGCAAAGTTAATGAGAAATAGCCACTATTTGACTGCAACATGGGAAGTTCCAGCATAATACACTAGAGATTGGTGTACCTGTGTATGAACTTCTAGCATATTATGCCGAAACTCCAACACACGGAAAGTTCCAGCATAATACACTAGAGATTGGTGCACATGTGTATAAACTTCCAGCATATTATGCCGGAACTCCAACACACGAAAAGTTCCAGCATAATATACTGGAGATTGGAGCACCTGTGTATGAACTTCCAGCATATTATGCTCAGTGGCGGAGGCAGGATTACCGCTAAGGGAGTTCAAAAAAAGGAAAAAAGTTAAAAAGGTTGTAGCTAGTGGGTATAGAATCAATGACCTTGCAAAAGATTTTGAACCCCCATGACCACTAAGCTATACTTTTGGGTTGTGTCAAGGAGATTCAAAACATAATATATAGAGGTAAAAAACAGATTTTGCCTTACATATACAGTAAAAATTTTCGGCGAAGGGGTTCGGGTGAACACCCTTCCGCCCCCCTAAATCCGCCCCTGATTATGTCAGAACTCCAGTATATTATACTGGAACTCCAGTATATTATGCTGGAATATTTTTCGGATTTTAAACGGTGTTTACGTTCTGATTTATCTTTATATGAAAAGTGACTAAATTTCGATTACTTTTGAAATTGTAGCTATTTTTCAATAACTACTTGTAAGTCTGACTAAGTTTTAGTTTCACCCGTTTTAGCTGGAACCAATACCTTCCTTCCAATACCTACCATTATCCCTCCACCCCAATCACATTTTCAACAATTAAATTATTAGAAGACCTGGCGCAATATCATTATCAAATTAAGTAACTTTCATTTCTTTTTCTGAATATATCTTGGCTTAAAATGATATAGTTCACCAAATGTGTGTCCAGTGATCCACCAAATTTGGGGTCACGCACCAAAGAATACATCGATTAAGCAGAGTTCAAGTGGAAGAGAATTATGCAGAGCCATTGCACTTTGGACCATACCTCTCAACCCTCTCATCAATCCAAGCTCTCATATCAGCTAAAACAAGATTGGCAGCATCATCAGGCTCCCCTTGAATCAACGAATGATACATTCCATCGTAAAGCTTGAGGGATTTGTCCGTGCTGCTTGCCTTCTCGTACAACAATTTCGAGCCTGTAGGGCATGTAACACCATCAGATGTCCCATGCACTGTCAAAAATGGAGCAGTGACCTTGTGGAAATTGTTCTGGACGTATTCACACTGCCTGGCAATCTCCCTCATAGTTCCCACCCTTGGCTTCCCGGTATATCTCCTGGGATTGCTTGCGATTATTTTCAGTTTCTCAGTGTCTCTGATAGCCTTGCCCACCATTTTGTTGTCTGGCATTGCCGCCCATGTATCAGCGAATCCAAATAGCAGTCCATACATGAATAAGTGTACCTACATGTTAAAAAGTAAAGCTCTCATGATTGATACTCCCTCCTTCAAAAGTTATAGTCCCCTTCATTTCCGAAGAGTTAAATGGAGAAACTTTAGTCATGATTTTCGAATATCACATGTTATCATTTAACATAAGAACTTTCTAAAATCCAAATTCTATTCTCAAAATGTTATATAATTCAATGATGACAAATTGATCAAAGTGACCAAAGCTAAAGCAGGTATAATGTTGGGTCGGAGGGCTATGTAGCACAGTAGCAGTCCATTCACATGACAGTGGCAGAGCCACCTTATAGGAAAGGGTGTCAAATAACACCCCTTTGTGGGAAAAATACACGGTGTAGGTAGGTAAAAAAAAATTATATGTATATATACTATGTATTGACTCCTCTTAATTTCCTGGTATGTTTACTTTTATATATTCTGACACCCCCTTAACGAAAATTCTGGCTCCGACACTAGATACGCACCAAGAAAAGAGAGAAATGAGAACTCAAAAGAGGATCAAGTCGTCTAATCTGAAACATTTTGCGAGAAATATCCTAACAAGGGCAGGCCTGCATGTGGATATTGTATGTACCTTCTAAAAAACAAAAAAAAAATGGAAATAGGTTCTTCTTTCTATTTCTAAAGAGACATGGTTTTGTTTACGACTGAAAGTTTATTCTAATACTGTTGGACTTTAAGCCATTGGGCTTTAAAGTAGAAGAAGTGTGAATTAGAAATAGAGGGAAATAAAATGGAGGAAAATTGAAAATTTGAAGAAGTGAACTTTTGTCTTGCACTTTGTCCCTCATTGGTGAGGGACAACCACATTTGTGTGCTTATATATAGAATCACTTCTTAAAGCTCTTAAAAGGAGTTGAAGAGAATGAGCCCTCGCGCCGTCGTCGTCGCTCGGCTTGGCTTCGGCTTTGGATTTGGATTTGTCAAATGATCGATAAGATTATTTTTTGGACAAAATTTATTTAATTATTTAATAATTAATTAAATGCCAAATCACTGCTGAAAATACGCCAGAACCCTGCTGCTGAAGGTTCAGAAAGCCCCTCTGACCGCGGTTCTGCCGTGACCGCGGTAGAACCGCGGCAGGCAGGTTCAGAAGGCTCCTCTGACCGCGGTTCTGCCGCGACCGCGGTAGAACCGCGGCAGACAGCGTATTCTTCTGAAAAGGCACCTTTTCCAGACACCTCTTCTGATAATTGCCTATAAATTCTGAGGCAAGGCTCCATTTTCTAAACACGAAAAACACTCCAGAACTTCTTTCTTTCTGAATATACTGCATTCTAATTCGCAGTCTCTCTCTCTCAAATTCGTAAGTGTGATTTTGCTCCGTTCTTTAAGTTCGTTGGTATCCTGCAGTTTGTATTGCCACTGTTGCAGGAAGGTTTATTCCGTTTTATCCTGGGAGGATTTAATCCATTACCTTGGCAACGTGTGAGGGGGTTAAAATTCCTTAAGGACACACAAGCAAATTGTGGACTCGGAATATTTCTTAAACTCTACTATTTTTCCAGATTTCTTTAATTCTTCTAACAGTTTTGTTTTTCCTGATTTTGTGTTTTAACACAGTATCGCTCACAAGCTTAAGGAATTTTTAACTAACGTTTCTGTGTTGAAACATATATTAAACTGTTATTCATATTTTGTATACTGTTTTGGAGACTAAAGCCTTGTTGCTTTCTACTCCAATAATTCTTTTTGTCCGGTTTAAAGTACATAAAAACTTTGCCGGAATAATAAACGTACGGGTTTGAAGTATATAAAAACTTCACCATTGTTACGTGTTGTATGTTTGGTTTGATATTCAGTTTGAAGATATCAAAACTTCACTGATTTAACAAAGTTCTGTATTGTTTTCAACTTTACAAAAATATGACGAATGAAAACCAAACTAATGGAAGTGTTGCGGGAACGGGTGCTACTGTTACGAGTGTTGCTGCCTCGTCATGCCGTTCTACTCCTGCTCATGCTATGGCACCGGCAGAAAAACCCGGAAAGTTTTCCGGTATTGGCTTCAAACGCTGGCAAATGAAGATGCTCTTCTATCTTACTACGTTGAGTTTGCAACGTTTCATCAAGGAGGATCCTCCGGTCATGGCTGAAAATACTCCGGATGATGAACGACTTGTTGTAACTGAAGCATGGAAACATTCTGATTTCCTGTGCAAAAATTACATTTTGAGTTGTTTGGAAGATGGCTTGTACAATGTCTATAGTGTCATGGAAACTTCAAAAGCGTTATGGAATGCGCTTGAGAAGAAGTACAAGACTGAGGATGCCGGACTTAAGAAGTTCGTGGCTGCAAGGTTCTTGGATTTCAAGATGATTGACACTAGGTCGGTCATAACTCAAGTCCAAGAACTACAAGTCATTGTACATGACCTCCTTGCTGAAGGTATGACCCAAATTAATAATTTTATTAATAAGATTTATCTTATTATTAATAATGAATTTGTTATTGAAGGTATGGTCATAAATGAGGCCTTTCAAGTCGCTGCTTTCATTGAGAAGTTACCTCCGCTGTGGAAGGATTTTAAGAACTATCTTAAACACAAACGGAAGGAAATGACACTAGAAGACTTGATTGTTCGTTTGAGGATAGAAGAGGACAACAAAAATGCTGAAAAG